TTATGAAATCAGATATAAAACTTCTTCATGGCACCCTTGGGAGGAATACAGTGAGAGAGTGCACGAAAACCTAGGCACGCATGATGCCTGGCTTAAGTACTTGGCCAATAAATGCTATTATTGTTGTGATGGTATTCTTTTTTAAGGTGTCTAGTTCTGAACACACTTAATTTTCAAACTGTGCTTGTGGTATAAGTTATGATTCTCATGTTTTAGGTAAAGGACCCCCCGGGCCTTTATTGGACTAGCTGCCCAGGGTTCCAACCAGAGTTGAGGGCAGAGCTGGGACTCGCACCCAGGCCTGCCTTGCCCTCAAAGCCAGGTCTCTTTGCATTCGCTGGTACCAGAAATGGGCCATCGCAGAGCTTCACTGGGGAGAGACATCTGACACAGTAGAGACAGGTGTGACCTGAGGCGGGGCGGGCACTGAGACGGAGTCCCAGAACAAGGGACTTTTGTGGCTCCAGCCAAGTGGACGGTGTGCGTTCTCCCTTGGGCCGTGGCTTTTGTCCTCCAAGACTTTTCGTGTGCTGCTTCCTCCCCTGGAACACCCCCTCCCTCAGCGTCCTCCTCTCAAAGTCTGACCTGTCCTTGTAAAGGTGAAGGGGACAGGCGACAAGCCAGGGTGACTGTGTGGCCCCCACTTGTTTTAAGTTCGGGGTATGTGTGTCCTTGGGTGTGAAAGAGAACGTTGAAAGCAGACTGGAGGTAAATAAGATGAAAACAATAGTTCTCTGTGTTGAGAGGGGCTTAGATTTCCAGAGATTTCTATTTTCTGTCTATTTTCCCAAAGTCAAAAAATGGACATGGATTACTTTTGCGAACAGAAAACAAAGTTATTTTAAAAACCCTGACTGTCTCTTCAGGGCGCAGCTCAAATGCCACCTCCTGTTTGGAGCTGTGATGTCACCCAGTGTGTGTTTGCCTGGCGGGGTCTCCATCCACGCATTTGTCTTTGTCCCTGGAAGTCTTTCCCAGCAGAAGTGAGCAGAAGCGCGGCCTCCCTGGCCTGCTTCCCACAGCAGCCACGGCTGAGCAGAAGTGCTCCGGGGGCTCCTGGCCGCCAGAGCAGCCGAGGGCGGTCTTTGCCACGCAGCCCTGAAAATGAGATTTGGGAGCTCTTAGCCTGTGTTGAGTTCATTCCACTAATTCCGCCGGCAGCCTTTCAAGGCAGGCGTGCTTATTATCCTCAGTTTAAGCAACTGTCTTGAAGCTTAAACAGAGTTATTACGTTGTCAGAAGAGCCCCTCTCCAGCTCCCTGCGCCACGCCCAACCCGCGTTGTAACCATCTTCCTCCTGGGAGGGGGTCATGAGCTTCTGGGTCCCCTGTCTCGGTCTGTTCCTCACCTTCTCCACCTTCTTTTCCCCTGACCTGGTCCCCCCTTCCTTGCCATCTGGTTCCCATCTCTGGCACACTCAGAGACTTAGCTCACTTATCACTGCTTCTTCCAGTAAGCCTTCCGCGATGGGCTCTGCTTTTTCACCCAGTCTGTGTCAGCAGGCTCCTCCTTGCCTACCCGTGTCATAGCGTTTATCACTTCTCACTGAACTTGGCCTTTCTCTCCGTTGTTTGTCTTTTTCGCTCTCCAACCAGACAGAAGGACAGGAGTTTAATTTCTTTATCCTCGGTGTCTAGCTGGCATAAATTAGCTATTCAGTGAATATTTTTTGAATTAATTAATATAATCCTTTCACTGGCCCTATAAAATGACCATTTACAAATGAAGGAACATGAAGCTCAAAGGTTGAGGGGTTTGCTCAGTCATGGCCAGTAAGTTTTGGCATTGATTCTAGAACACAGGTCTTTTGATATCTAGTCCAGCTTGGCCGAAATGCTAAAATGTAAAGAAGCAGGGGGTGGGGGAGATAGTCGGCCAGTTCTAGTGGGAATGGAAATGTTAATCATGTTCCAGCATATGCCAGGAGGTATATTTAGGTCATTTATGTACTTTTCCTTGTTTGAGAAGAAAATCAATCATGTGTTTCTTAACATAGTCTTTTATTTATTTTGGATTATTTGCTTAGTATCATTTCTGGGAGTTGGGTTGTGAGGTCAAGTGACTGGACATTTTAGATGGCTGTCACTATTACGGCCAGTTTGCTTGCCAGAACTTTGTACCAGTTAACACTACCTTCAGAAAAATATGTGACTGTCAGTTTTACCATTTACACCCCAGCATTAGGGATTATCATTGTTTAAAACTCGTGTTACTCTCAGAGATGTAAAATTGTGCCTCATTATTATTTCCTATTTGTTTCTTTGTGAAAACTGAGGTTAGTATTTTTGTGTGTGTGTCTATATTGGTGTCAGACCCACGTGTTCATGCTCCTTATTGTGCTTTTTATTTCTTTTAAGATTGTTGAAGACGTTTGTGGAAGGCAGACTCAACTGTTAAGTGCCAGGTGGGAGGCACTAGCAAGAGGAAACACAAAAATTACTAAGATATCATCCCTTTCTTAAGTAGGAGTTTCTTAAGTAGGATACTGAAGTTGGAGAGATGGATGTGGCTGTGTACAGAAATAATGATCCAGGTGGCTAAACTGTCCAACCAAGAGATAAGTTATAATAGGTTGTAGAAGAAGAGTTAGGATCAATGATGCCTGACTTGGAGAGTATCAGGGAAGGCTTCAAGGAAGTGGTGTCGTTTATTCTAGTTGGAAAGGATGAGAAGCATTTAGAAGGAGCTCTAGGTTGACAAAGCACCGTGAGCAGGTGTCGAGCCCATGATGGACTGGGACACTTTGTCCCTGAGAACATTTCGTGTGAGTGTTTGTATTGGTTAGGATGGTTTTGGTGGTAGGGAAGAGAATACCCAATGAAAAGAGGTTTTATTGACTAAGAAAATTTTATCATCTGACCACACAAAGAGGCAGCTTTTGGGGGGTCAGCTGATGAGGCACAACATGACATTTGGAACCCCCAGTCTTTCCGCCTTTCCTCTCTGCTGCCTCAGTGTGGACTTCATCCCCAGGCTGCTCTTTTCCCAGTTGAAAGCTTGCTGCCTCACTCTCGTGTCCGCTCAGCCATGTTCAAAACCAGGACAGGCCAGACTCTCTCACCTATTTGTTTGCTTGCTTGCTTGCTTTTGCATAAAACAATAGATACTTGTGTTTTCACAGTTTTGGAGGGTGGAAGTTCAAAATCAAGCCCTTCCATCTCTTCTTATCAGGGGAAAAATATCTTTCCCAGAGGCCCCCAGAGAGCTTCTCCGTAAGTCCTAAAGGCCAGCATCGTGTCACCCGTCCCCCATCATGTCACACCTACCCCATCAGTGGCTTGATGGTAGATAAAACTACTGTGTTAGATTTAAATTAATCAACATTCACCTCTCTAGGGTTTGAGAGGGAATCACCCTCCCTGGACACATGGTCCCCTCTAAATTGCAGTTCTGTTTAGTAAGGAAGAAGCTGAATATGTACACTTGTTGTATAAGCAACAGCAGTGTCTTATGGTGTTTACGAATACACATTTTAATCAGAATTATACCAGTCTTTATACATTTCCATCAAGAAAATGTTTTCTGAACTCAACTTTATTAAGCTAATTTATTTATTTATTTTTTTAATATTTATTTTGAGAGAGTGGGAGAGCATGAGTGGGGGAGGGGCAAAAGAGAGGGAGATAGAGAACATGACCCAGGCTCCACACTGTCAGTGCAGAGCCTGATGCAGGGCTCGAACCCCCAACCCATGAGATCATGACCTGAGCTGAAATCAAGAGTCAGATGCTCAACCAACTGAGCCAACCATGTGCCCCTAAGCTAATTTATTTTTTTTTTAATGTTTTTCCCTATACCATATTTCATTTTCTTCCACTTTCATTTTTGTTTTACTTAAAATATTTTTTGTGGATATACAGATTCTTTTCCATATAAATTTTACACCACAGACTTATTTCTTTGACCATTTTACATGTTCTTAGTAAATTTTGTTGATTATATTTGTAGGTTTTGATGTTATTAATTTTCTCTTGAGATTGTTACTCATACCGGTCTTCTTGGGTCAAATTTTGTGGATCAAGAAATTTTATGTTGACTGTTTCTATTAATAATCTTTATTAGGAATTGGTTGAGGCTAATTACTATGTATTTCTCAGTTAATCCACGATGAAATTGTGAGTAGTTCTTCATAGACACAAAGATCGATCTATTGTTCAGATTGCTGTGTTGTAGCAATCAGCAAACCAGGACCTCACAGTCCAAATCTTGCCTGATGCCTGTTTTCATAGGGCTATAAATTAAGAGTGGTTTTTACAGGTGAATATTTATAATCTGTTCAATGGTAGAGATGTGAACTTTGAATTCCGGTTAAGAAAAATGTTGCTTCTTCCCCCCAAACAGTTCCATTATCCTTATTAATAGACCTATGTTACAAAAACTGTACTCAATTACTATTATTACATTTTGAATATTGTCAATTAAAGTTTTGTGGAAATTTGTTTTTTCTTTTGTTATATAAATACTATATAATAGTTTTGATTTTGCCTCTTGGCCCCCAGTCCCTAAAATATTTGCTCTCTGGCCCCTTACAGAAAAAGAATTGCCAATCTCTGCTCTGTTGTACTGCTATCCTAATTCTCCCAAACCCTTGCACTCTTCTTCCCTTACCTGACACCGCTGTCTATTCCATGGGCGTTACCAGGAGCAAACAGTCAGTGAGGTCTAGAAGTTCTTAGGTCAGAATCTAGAGTCAGGTGTCCAGCTGCAGGTGGGAACATAGCAAGTCGGGTGAACGCAGTCATGCCGCTCAGTGATAAAGAGAGACAGTTCCTCAACTCTTCACGGGTTAGTTACATCAGATCAAAATGCAAAGTGATGTAAAAGAGTTTTCTGTGTAAGTCAGTTTCCCCTTTTTTTCTCACTCGAGAAGAAGTCTAACATGTCGGAAAAGCCAAAGTACGGTTGCTGTCAAATCATCAATATTTGAGGGAACTTTGGGAGAGCTGAGAAGCCTTTTACTTTTCCTACTGAAGGTAGCTCCTTTTTCTTTCCTTTAACAGATGAGGAAAAAGAAAACAATAGAGCATCCAAGCCCCACTCCACTCCTGCTACTCTGCAATGGTAAGTTCATTTTCAGCAAGTTCTCTCTTGATGCGGTGCTCGTGTAACTTCAGCTTCCTGCTGATACAATAGGGTATCGCCGAAAAGTTTGACATCAGCATGAGAACTTGACATCCAGGAGCCTAACATGCAGTCAATTTAATTTGCAGCTCTGTGTAAACTACTCAACTTAGGTCCAGCCTGGAGATTGGGATTTTCGGATTTATTTTATTTGGGTGTAGATTTTGTTTTCCAGCACCAAGACCCTGGCAAGGACTGGCTGCCATGTGGGTGTTGTTAACTGATTTAATGGAATCCATTGTTATAGTTAATAAGGATGCAACAAATTATAGAAATGGTGGTCTGTTCACCCCTATCAATGATCCCTTAATGAATTAATCCTTAATTGCAACTATACTACAATTATTTTAACATTAGTAATATTAACAAGCATTATCTCCTTTAGTGGCTTTACTTTATTATTTGGAATTCCTGGACTTGGTGAAATATTTGATGGATGATGTTGTAAGTGGTTGCTTTCATGTTTGAGGTTTATAGGTACATTCTCCTCTAAGAGCTTTACTTAGAAGTTGTTTTGTAGCTTTGAGCACAAGAGCTGTCTACACCTGAGATTTATTCCTCAAAACTCCATATCAGTTAGGGCTATGATTCCCCTGGCAGCACAGCCCAGCTAACCTGAGGGGATTAAGGAAGGAAGGGGAGGGAGGAAGGAGAAGTGGGGAGGTGTAGGCACTAAGAGCTATTATGTGCCAGCCTCCTCCATGCCAGGCACTTCCTGTAGGTGCCCTGAATTCTCACAATTCTCTGAAGTTGGTATCATTTATGCCCATTTCACAGATGAGGAAAATAAAGCTTAGACAGTTAAATCATTTGCCTGAATATACACAGGGCCACGAAGGGGCACAGGCTGGGTCTCTTTAACTGCAAAGCCCCTGCTTTGGAAGAAAGGATGGGGTGGAGAAGAGAGGACAAATGAGAAAAGAGAGCAGATGGGCTTTAAGGAGCAAATCACATTAGATTCTCCTGACTAATCCATGCACAGGTGAGAGGAAGACCGCATCGGGAGAAAGCATTCAGGAGCGTAACTCAATCTTCTCTAACAAGAGTCTCCACAGTCAGCTTGCTTGGCTGCAAGGACAGCAAAGGTTATTTTCAAGAGCTTGATTTCCAGACTTTGGCTTGTTTCCATCATTTTGTCCCTGTCTTCTTTTTCTCATTGCATTTGCTGCTTTTCGTTTTCTTTAAAATTCTACTCTATTTCCCTGGTCAAACCTGTGCCTGCACCCTTCCTCCCCCAAATCATGGCCACACAAATTCCCATAATGCCAGGACATCTAATGAGGTATCAGTATAAAGGACTTTGGGCATGAGAATTTCTAGAAATGCAAGGAATTGGCAGACACACTGACTTTAAAAACCTGAGCACGTTGCACATTTCAGAATAAAAAATTTGAGAGTGAGTAGAAGAAAATCACCTTGTTCATTCCTAATTTTCTGTGATTCTCTGATATCTGCCTGGCAACAGTGAGTCTGCGGACAGTGCAGCGTCTTAAATCAGACTGCCAGATATTAACTCCTAGCTGTGTAGCCTTGGGTGCAGTCCTTAACCTATCTGTGCCTCAGTCTCCTCACCTGTAAAATGGGAATAGCAGTGGTATCAAACTCCTAGGGGTAGTCGTCAAGAGGAAACTGAGTTAGTACAAAGAAAGCGCTTGAAGCATCTGAGGTAGAGCCAGCGCTCAGCACACCCTCCCTTCTGAGTCCCCCAGGGCATCCTGGAGCAGGCCTTCCCTCCTTCCTGATGTATGCAGTCAGTTCACCCCTACTGTACCTAAGCCTGTACAGAATGTCCTTTTCTGCATAAAGCGTCACATAGATCATTCCAAAAGACATTTCATTTTCCAATTCACAAAGTCAGGCAGGGGATTTTTTTAAAATAAATTTGCTTTCAAGGCCAAATCAGATTCAAGAATTTATAAATTTTTGTTTTATTATTATCAAAAGACATCAAGTTGTTCAAAGAACATCAGATGGTCCTCCAATTCCCTTTATATGTATGAGATAGACTTTCAGTCACTAATTGAAGAAATGTTGGCTGTGCACCTACTATTGCTACACCCTGTTCTAGGCTCTGAGAGTGCAACGGTGAGTAATATAGACCAGGAATGATGAGGGGGAAAGTTTTATGATATAAAAGTATCATATTAATGATAAATAAATAAACAAGGAATGCATTAGATACTGACAAGTGCTGTGCCTAGAGTTAGAACTGGCTGACAGGGTAGTGTCTGAGAGGGTTTTTTAGGTTGAGTGGTGTGGGAAAGCTTCCTGGAGGAGGTGACATTTAAGTACACTTTTGTATGACAAGAAGTCCACAACATGACAATGTGAAAATCAGGGGCAGGGAACATTCTAGGCAGAGGGAACAGTTTCTTAAAAGGCTGTACGAATGTAGGTTGGGCTTTCCCAGAGGCAGACTGAGCAGAGATGGGTGTGCAGGTGGTTTATTCGGGCATGCATCCAATATTGACACATGGGGGTGTGAGGGACACTGGGAGAGGCAGAGGGGGTGTCAGGCTGACAGGAGGCTGCAGTAGAGTCCTCAGCAATCCTGTGGGGAGTTCTGAGGCTGGGCTGGCCCTTCAGAGAGACCAGAGTCCAGGCATTGGGTCCAGGCCTTTATCCCCTACCTTGCCCATCATGGAATATCGGCTACCCCCTGAAGGGGGGTGAAGCTTTGGGCAAGGCAGTTCCCTTCACATTCTGCTGAGGACAACTCCTCAGGAAGGATTCGGCCTCAGCAAGTAGCCTCCCAGCAGTGGAGAAGGACACCTCGGTCCTCAGGGGTAACTTGGGCACATCCCACAGCATCCGCTGCTCCCTCCAGGGTGGGAGGCAGGCTGAGCTTGTTGGAGGAACTACAGAAGGTGGCCAGCGAGTGAGCCACAGCGAGTGTGGGGCACAGCGAGTGAGAGGAGAAGGATACCGATGAGGTGGGAGAGGGAGGCAGGGGAGAGGGTCTGTAAACAGCAGGGAAGAAGAAGGAGGACATTTCTCTTAAGTAAAACAGTCACGCTTAAAACCATGGTGGAGGACATGTGACCTCCTATATAAACTTCCACACGAGTAAAGTTTTTAGAATGTAGTTTCAGTGTAAATACTTTGTCTCTCAAAAGGAACACGGCCCCCCACGCCCCTCCCCCAACCATTTTGCAAGGGAAAGTGAGGTCAGTTATACCATGTTCCCCTTGTGCTCTGGTCGCCAGCGAGTTCAGATGTTTATGCACTTTTCCATCTCTTTTGTTTGAATGTCTTCTTTTTCCTTTGTTAGCTTTTTAGAAAAAGGCAAGATATGAATACATTCAATAAGCCCTTACTTTGTTTTTATTTTATTTTATTAATACAAGTGATAGGTTTCCTCACTTGAAAACTGAAACATCCTAGATAAGGCTATCGTCCGTTCTTTGTTGTTGTTCGGGGCTCATCCAGAGCGACCCTCTGACCAGTGGGAAGTGTGTGTGTGTGTGTGTGTGTGTGTGTGTGTGTG